AGAGCCAGAGGACCCTGTAAAAAAACCTGGCAGCGGGGGAAATAAAAGCCTTTGGGCTGCAGGGAGAGTCCCGTCCCGGGGAGCCGGCTCCGCTTTCACACCTCGGCTACAAAGCTCCCCATTATAGCCCAATCCCGGCCGTTACAATGCGGCTATTCTTCCCCGGGAAAGGCGAGTCGGATGTGGGCTGGAGCTGCAGCAGGATGCTCGAGAGGAGGAGGAGGAGGAGGAGGAGGAGGACAAGGGGCCAATTAGCTGATATTAAAACAAAGCGAAAACAAATCCAAAAAAAAAAACCACAACCCTACACCCTGGACCAAAACAACAACAACAACAAAAAAAACCACCAACCAACCCTCACCTCAACAATACAAACACTGTCCCCCTTCGCCCTGGCTCCCTTTCAGATTTGGCGCTGGAAAAAGAAATCCCTGGCACCGGCTCTTCACGCCTTCAGGGGCTGCTTCGGGGAAGCCGCGTACGCGCAGGGAGGATGGTTGTCCTCCAGTAGCTCTGCCCAACGGTGCTCTACGGGGGCCAAAGTGAGCCCATGGCCTCGGGGACACCTCTCACCCCTGCCCCATAGCATCCTGCACCCTCCTCCTGCCACCCCAAGTGGGCAGGGGACATCAGGAGACTCAGCCCTGGGGTCCAGGGTGATGGAAGGGCCCAGATATCTGCCCTCCTGAATGGGCTTCAAGGGGTACGGCCAAACTCTACCCGGAGAATGAGTCCAAATTTGACTTCTCCAGCCTCTGTCTCAATTCCTCTGTCCCTTGTCCTCAGGCATATGTTTCTCCTAGTCCTGCTCAAGCCTAGGACCGATCTCCAGGCACATCTCTGGTCACCACTTACGGAGCCCTGCGGGCTGAACTGGGATGCCCATGGGGACAACGTTTACCCAAGGGAGTCAAGAGCTCCTCACCAAGGCACAGTTGTGACCCCAAAGCCAGCAGCAGAACCCAGATGATGCCCAACAAGACCATCTCCTCTGAGGGAGCACAGGGTCTCGAAGCAACAGTGCTGAGCTCCCGGGGTACCGGGTTTCTCAGGTGTGCTCTTTTTCATCTGTTCTACCCTTTGAGGGCAATGTCAACATCAAAGTGGGGGGGTCCCAGCATCAGCGATACACTTGGATACTCCAGCTCCTTGCCCAGGGGCTGGAAAGCCACAATACCAAGCCCAGTCTGCACAAACTGGGGGGGCTCCCCACTGCCCTGGGAGAGAGGCAGCAATGGAGGTACGATGGACACATTTCACCCTATTTTGGATCCTTTAGACCATCCATCCTGGTAATTCAGGGGTGGTATAAATGCCCAGAAGGACTCCAAGTACAGAGCCAGGGCACAGCTCCGTCACACTGTGCCTTACAAACAGCAAGTGCCAGACAACCTCGACCCTGAGACCCAAACAAGAACCACCAACAGGAGACATCAAAACCAGCAGGGCTTGGCACTTCTGCTGGAAGTTTGAAGGATGGAAGGGATAAAAGAGGTGCTTTCCCCTTTCTTTGCCCCTGCTTGCCTTCTGGTCCATGATAACTCCACTGCTGGGCTTGGGCAGTTGCTGGACCCTGGGGCCACCAGTGTGAGGACATGCTCCCCAGCAAGCCTCTGCATCACAGGCTGTGTCCCGTGTGCTGTGAGCAGGCTGTGGCTGCAGGCAAATGCTGAGATTACTCAGTTTTTGAATTAAATCAAGGTCCTAAGGGCCTTCTAAAAATCCCGGGCCCAAGGGCAGCAGAGGGAGGAGAGGGAGTGAAATAAATACCCTGCAGGAGAGAGGTTGATGGAGAGATGGAAGGTGGGGAGGAAGGGATGGAAGAAGCAGGACAGCAGATAAGATGAAGGTTTAAGATGTGAGGAAGAAGGGGAAAGGAAAGTGCTGGAGCTGGTGCAAGACAAGGGATTCACATTCAGGGAATAGGAATGGCCAGGAAAGAGGAGGAGGGACAGGGAAGGCAAAAAGCACTCCCTGTGTCCTGCTGTGGCAAGGGGGGGATGGCCTTGGATGGGCTGCAGGGACAGGAGGGGATGAGAGGATCTGCCCTACCGAGACCCAGTGCAGCTGCCTGATGGGGGTGAGAGGGGACAGCGTACACCCACCTGCCCCCCACCCCAGGACCCACCGCTGTGGATAGAGCAAGGTGACCCATCCTGGCACGCACCGCTCGCTGCCAGCTCCTGGTGTCCCCTTAGCACCTGCTCCACCAGCATCCTCCATCCTGTGGCCACCCGAACCCCTCGCCCTGGTGCCTCCAACCCCAGCCCCACTGGTGGAGAGCACCCTGGGGTGAAGGGGAGCAGACTCACACACAGCACAAGGCTCCCCGGGGGGAACCCCTTCACCTCTGGGGGAGCAGGTGGAGAGAGGAGGAGGAGGGACACATCGAATGCAGCCCTCTGGAAGATGACAGGGGCTTCTCCTGTTTGGTTGCTTTTGTTTGTTTGCCTGTTTGTTTGCTGGTTTTCCCATTAAAGAAGCAGAAAGCACAATGCGGGCTGTGCTCCAGCTGCAGCTGATGGGGCCAGCCCTCTGCAGGAGCCAGGGGAGGGAGAGAAGGATCCTGTGTTTCTCCTCCTGCTGCTGCTGAAACACAGGATCCAGCTCCCCAGGCCGAGGAGGTGCCCCAAGAACCCCAGCAGGGAAGGAGTAAGAGCAAAAGCAAGCAGAGCTCAGCAGGGCAGGCAGCATCAGCAGGACTTGGGGGGACAGATGATGATGGTGATGATGAGGGGACCACCAAGGCCAGACAGACAGGGTGGCATTGCCACCTGGGCGCAGGGCTTAAACAGGGAGGTGGTCGTGGAGATCCCCCAGATCCTGCTAGGCTCTGCTTGTTTTCACTCTTACTCCTTCCCTGCTGGCCAACCTCCCTCTCATACCCCAAAAGGAACTGACTTCCTGCAGATCGCTGCTGGGGAACATGTCCTTCTTGCCTGAAGAAAAACAACTTTCCCACTGGTCTCTCTGTAGCTGTAATGCCTCATCCCAGCACTGCCTTGGACACACTGCTAACAGCAGGTCCATGTCTACACAAGCATTGCCCAGACAGAAAAGCAGGCACGGGTGAGAAAAGGATGCAGGAAGAGAAAATAGTGGGAGAAAGGGAGTTTCGGGAAAAGAGCTGGAAGGAGAAAGGAGAAGAAGTATGAAAGTCATGCATGGCTGCATGGAAGAATGGAGAGTTGATAGATGGGAAAGCAGGAACAAGACCAACACAGACAAGGAGAGATAGTCCCCATAAGGTTCTTGGATGCCAGAAGAAGCACAGAGGGTCCTTTGCCCTTGGATCTGGGAAGGGGTGAAGCATCATTGCTGGTGGTCACACCTCCATGTGCTAGGATTGCTTCCTGACCTGCAGCCCTCTGCATCCCACCCAGAGCTGCTCTGTGCTGGCTCACTCCAGGCATCTGAATCAAGTGCAGGCTCAGTGCTAATAAGTGACTTTAAGCAGGTCTGTCATTTTTGGACTCAGGACCTGGGTCTGAGGGCTATGGAAGGGGCTGTGGGGCAGCAGTGACTTGAGAAATTGGGAAATCAATTTCCATAGGATTAACACTGAAGCTCTTGCAGGAGGGAGAAGAGCCCAGACTTAGGGAAGGGTGACCTCCAGCTTGGCTGGTCCCTCCTGGAGTAACAGTGACCTCCTGTGGCTGTGGAACTGTCCCGAGGGGCTGGTTATTCCCTCTGCACCAGCCCTTTGTAAAACCACACTACAGGGCTTTGGCCACCATTCACAGGGCTTTGGCCACCCCTCGCACGGCCAGTGCCTGAGACCTCAGAGATCTGACGTCTGGCTGCTAAGACCCCTCCACAGGGGGACACATCCTGAACACCAGCGTCTGCTGTGGGTGGACACCAGGGAGGACCACGGCCTCAGCTGCTCATAGAATGGTTAGAATTGGAAGGGACCTTAAAGATCATCCCGTTCCACCCCCTGCCCTGGGCAGGGACACCTCCCACCAGACCAGGTTGCTCAAAGCCCCATCCAGCCTGGCCTTGAACCCCTCCAGGGATGGGGCAGCCACAGCTTCTCTGGGCAACCTGGGCCAGGCTCTCACCACCCTCACAGGGAAGAATTTCTTTCTTGCATCTAATCTAAATCTCTTTCAATTTCAAACCATTACCCCTCATCCTATCGCTACACTCCCTGATAAAGAGTCCCTCCCCATCTCTCCTGTAGGCCCCCTTCAGGTACTGGAAGGGGCTCTAAGGTCTCTCTGGAGCCTTCTCTTCTCCAGGCTGAACAACTCCAACTCTCTCAGCCTGTCTTCATAGCAGAGGTGCCCTCTGATCACTTTCATGCCCCTCCGCTGGACCCGTTCTGACAAGTCCATGTCCCTCCTGTGTTGAGGACTCTTTCATGGCCCTCCGCTCGACCCCTTCCAACAAGTCCATGTCCTTCCTGTGTTGAGGACTCCAAAGCTGGACACAGTGCTCCAGGTGGGGTGTCATGAGAGCAGAGTAGAGGGGTAGAATCACCTCACCACCTTCGTGGCATTGCCTTCACTATCCTGAAGGCAGGGAGACACTGGTCAGCGAGGGCTGTGGGTGGTGGGCAGCAGGACCTGCCTGCTCCATCACTGACACTGTCCTCAAGCGTTCCTCACCAAACATGCCCACAAAAACATTGCCCCACTCTGGGGAACCCAACATTTATGCAGAGACTCAGGAAGGCAGACTTGAAAGGTGACTAAGGCAAGATCATAGCGGTGGAGCTGGTCCACCACCTCACTCACCTCCCTGGTATCGTTGTCCTGGATGAGAGCATACAGAGGCACCACTCGGTTGATCTCCAGCAGAACTGGCGTGGGGCTGAGCTGCTCCTTGCCAGGGCGCCGGCACAAATGGCAAGTGGATGGGCAGCGCCCTTTCTCCTCACAGTGAATCTCCACACCTGAGATGAGGTGGTCATCAGACAGCATCTGTGCCGTCAGCAGGCCCGAGAGATAGGTGATGAAGGGCATGGATTTCAACTCCTTCTTGTTTCCAAGCTCCGTTGTTTCTGGTTTAAGGAGAGGGAAGAAACCAAACAACATTAAATCAATCTCAGCACAGTCATCCCAAACCCAGACTTTGCTGTAGATGGGATAAATGCAGCTGCTGAAGGTTTAGGCCAGGTGTGAGCAGGAAAGCAGAAAGGTCAAGGAGAGGAGAAAACCAGCACTTGCTGGTCACTGCTTGGGAGTGGGTACAAAGTGTATTTCCAGTCACCTTTTTTTATAACTTGCGTATTCACTTTCTGCACTTCAAAATGAAACAAACCCACCCAAGTATTTCTTTCCTGCCAAAAAGAAACCTCTCCAAAGCGAGGAGGTCAAAGAGCTGAGGGCCCTCATCCCTGCCCCAACGCCAGCCCTCTCCAGTCGCTGCTGTCCTTAGCTCTCTCTTTGGGTGACACATTATGCCGGGCACTGAGATGGAGCCAAAGGAGGCTGCAAAGAAACTACATTGTGGGATGAAGCCCCCTTGGCAGAGGGGGTAAGTGGGTACCAGAACAATCTCACAGCACGGGGAGTAGATGGAGGCATTTCCAAAATGACTGTCAATGCTCTGCTTTCAGGAAATATTCAGGCCTTTAAAACCCATTGTGAAACTTCCTGGTGGCCTTAACCACAAGGAGATAAAGCCGGAGAGTCTTACTTTGTTCTGCCTTGGTCCAAACACTCCCTAAGGACAAGGAAAGCATCAAACCTGGTGATACCCTGAGCAAAGGAGCCCAGACTCCCATCTTTGTCCTGTACACTTCTACTTCAACTCTTTATCTATAGATATTCCTCTTGGGTTGATCCAAGAAGGAAGGCCTAGCTTTCATAACCTGATGACAGACCTGCAGAAGAAAAGCCATTCTCCATCCTATGCCCAAATGAGGCTCCCAACACTGTGAGATGGGTGGCTGCTGCCTTCCAACAACAACCTCCCAGTCCCAAGAAGGAGCTATGGAGGAACGAGGATTGTCTCAATGCTCTTGGCTTGCAGCAACGTGCAGCTGATCTAGCCAGGCAGTAGACAATTCAAAAGACAAGTAAACACAGTACCCATTCATGACTCCCCAAGCCCTTCAGGCTAGGGACAGCCCTTCCCTGTCTGGCTGTCACGGAACACTTCTGTGAGCAGGATCAAAGCTGTCACGGGAAGAACAAGCAAATTCCAATCAATCCGTCTTTCAGTGGGATAAAAGGGGGGAGCAGTTGCTAAGATAAATTAAAACACGGCTGTGAGGAGATGTCTCAACATCTAGGGAGGCAGTGGTGTACACAGAGATGGAAAACAAGAGTCGGAGCTGGTTCTTGGAGAGATTATTTTCTGGAAGAGCAGCTCCAGGCAACTTCAAGCCTTGTAAGGAAAAGCCATGATAAACTGAGTGGCTCAGAAAGAGAGAAGCTTCAAGGCAGTATCATGAGCCTCTGCTCACTTCTGGGTAAGAGAAACATTTTTTTTTAACACTCCTCCTAAACTACATTTAGAAGAGAAAGAAGGAGATGACATGACATTCTGGGCTGCGAAGCTTCTTCACCAGAGCTCAAGCAGTGATTTCAGCAGTCCTCCACTGGGAAGGAAGTTTTGGAGCCGTGCTTTAAGGGAGAACATGAAGACAGAGCTGAAGAGAAAGTGGAATCAGTTATCTCAAACCTGCCTTCCTGAATTATTGGCTTTATAGCTAAGAACTACAAGACCACTCTCATCACATGCCTGGATGCATCTTTTAACACAGGCTATGGCTTAGCCTAAGCTTAGCTAAGGCTTGTCTGGAGACGTGGCTCACAGTTTCAAGCCTTTCTAAAAGGCCTGAATTTTGAAAAGGCTTTCAAATTGCACATACAGGCTTCCACCAAGACCTGGAAGAAGATGTGGAGACAGCCCAGGCTGGATGGGCAGCGTGGTCCAGCTGCTGGATCTCAGCTCCAGCAATGCCTTGTTGGAGGCTCCGTTCCAAGCTGCCTGCTCTGTGCTTCTCCCCCCGTGTCACATTAAAGCCCAGGGGACACCACGCACGTGCACGCAGCGCTTGTGGGCTCAGGTGCTCTTCGAGTACAAACAAGCAGCAAGGAGTGGGATGAATAAGCAGGAAGAGCAACCTCCCGTGGTCCTCCTCAGTTACAGGCTGTGTTTGTGAGGAGCAAGCCGAGGCAAGTAAGGAGCAAAATAAACTTCTGAGCAAGAATTTCCCTCTGCAGGAGAGCACTAACTCCCGTGCTGAGGGACACCCCAACTGTAAGAGCTTAGACTCAAGTGGTTGCATTAGCTGCCCCATCCAGAAATACAGATGGAGCTCCTTGCAGTGATGATCCACCACAGAGGTCACCTTGGGAAAGGTGAGGACATAGAATCATAGACTCATAGAATTGCCCAGGCCGGAAGGGACCTCCAAAGGTCATCTAGTCCGACCTCCCCACAGTCAGCAGGGACACCCCCAACTAGACCAGGTTGCCCAGGGCCTCATCGAGCCTCTCCTTGAATATCTCCAGGGATGGGGCCTCAACCACCTCCCTGGGCAACCTGTTCCAGTGCTCCACCACCCTCACAGTGAAGAACCCTCTCCTCATCTCCAGTCTAAATCTGTTCCCTTCATGGCTTCCCTTCAAATGGTGGGCTAGACATGGAAAGCCATCCTCCAGTGTCCACCCTGAGCACGCAGCCCCTTTAGCAAGACAATAAAATGAGCATGAGCTGATCCAACATATCCTTCCCCAGCTGCCACCTCCATCACTCCCAGGAACGGGCGTTTTAACTGGGAGCGATGGTTTCAAGAGCTCCCCAAAGAGACTGGCCTGAAAGCGAGGGTTGCTCCTTCCTCCTGAAGGAAACTCAGATGGAGCAAAGCCATTTCAGGAGCAGCAGTCACCAAATGGAGCCATACAGGGAAAAAGGTAGAGGTCTGCAAATAAAGTAAGGTACAAAACCGTGTTAGCGCAGCTCCCCTTCCACAGCGGCCATGAACTCAGCAAGAGAAGATTAACTGTGGAGCCTGGTGACTCACGGCGGGCTTGTCAGCAGAGCAGACTTCATAGGTACGGTGGAAACGGCTGTCTGCGTTTAATCTTCTTTATAACAGCTGAAGCCCCAGTCGCTTTGGGAAAAAGCACTGCTTTGCAGACCAGATTCCTGGGGATGGTAACGGGTGACTGCAGCCCAGCCTTACTGGTTCAGCTGGCAAGGGACCCGCCGTGTTCCCTTCCACCAAAAAGGCTCTGGGTAAAACTCCAAGGGAGGAAAATGAAATAGGACGTGGCTCAGCAGAGGGAGACGAGCTTCACTGCCAAATTGCCAGCTCTCATCCAGACGAGCACTTGGAAGTCATCAGCACTGGATAGCAATTCCTGGTGGCTTTTGCGGAACCGAGCTTTGGGGGCTGAAGTAAGAGTCCTAACAAAATCATCACCCCCTTTCTGCTGCTCAAACCTATTTGAGAGCACCAGCCGTGCACCCGGCTTGTCAGCCAGCTCCTCCAGAGCTGGGGAGAGGTGGTGAGGAGGAACTGCTGCTCCTCATCTGCTTGCTCAAGGGGGTGGAAAGCCCCAGCTCCAGGTGCCTTCAGGCCTGTGCTCATCCCTAGAATGAAGGGAGACAGCACCTCCTTCCCTTCCCACCCACATCACCCACCACTTGCAGCATCTCACAGAAGAATTATTCTGATCTGGGAGGTATTTTGTATTTTCCCCCCAAACACACCCCTTTATTCCGGGACCTGTCATTACAATTGTGTCCCTGGGAGAAGGGACTGAGGTCCCTCTATCTCCCTCTGTCCCACCTTGGAGATGGGTTTTGGTTATCTGCTCACCGGGAGGGGGCTCAGGGGGAAGCCCACTCTCCCCATGGCAAATCTGACAGTTTTTTCTCCACTCCTGGAGAAACCCCCGGAGGATGGGTCTGGTTTTTATTCCCTAGTCACTGCACTGTGTTTGTCAGCACTGAGGTCCAGCTGACTGGTGGCTTCTCAAGTGAAAATACGGGCTGCCCAACCCTCTTCCTGACGGAGCCGAAGGAAGTTCTTGCCCTTGGACTGGAGAGAATCAGAACCAGACCCTGCAACGTACCATTGCAATCCCATCTCCAGCTGCTGCTGAAGCCACCAGAAACACTCCTGTTGTCTTCACATCAAGCTGGGTCCGGTCCAGAGTAAGCAAACCCAGCTTTGGAGTTCAAGTCCACGGGGCACGAGCCCCGTGCAGAAGTGATTAACCTCCTGAGAGCACTCAGACTGCTCTTGGAAAGCTTCTGCTTCACACCTTAGGGAGGGGTGACCGCTGCTGGGGTGCCCCAAGGGTCCCGTGCTGGTGGGAGGCTGAGGTTTGGCTGCAGGGGCTGCAGCCCAGCAGCAGCGAGGACAGAGGGATTCCTTATCAGCCCTTGCATCTCAACATGCTCTTGCTAAGGCTGCTGGCGGCTCGGTTGAATCCTGGCAACATCTGCCTGGAAGCACAGCACCGCGGATGTGGTTGGATGCATCACGGCAAAACTTGTGGGAGTTATTAGTTTGTTTGTTCGCCTGAAATATGTATTTTTAAAAAACCAACCCCAAAACAACACAATAAAACAAGTAAAATCACAGCCTTCCACTAAGCTCATCCTAAGGGGGACGAGCAGCGCGGGGTGTGCGGAGGTCCCGCTGGCCTCCCGGGGGGGTGCCTGGCTCCGTCTCCGTGCTCCACCAGGATTTCATCCCCCCACGGAGCGAGGGGACAGCCTGCACTGGGGTCCCTGCTCGGGATGCAGCAGTTGCAGATGTGGGGAAACGCTTCCAGCGCTACCAGCAGCACCTCCTAGTGCTCGGACACGAGGGAAGCACGATAACACCACTACTGTAACAATAACAAAATCACAATAACACCTAACTCTCTTGTATCAGAGCGCTGTTTTGTCTTGAATGCTCCCAGGAGGTGATGGGTTTCCCAGTGCCCCAGTGTTTTATACAGCGCCTCTTCCAAAAGATCCCAAAAAGATCATTCCAAAACTGGGAATCACTCCACTCACCACAAGAATGCAGCCACATCGGGGGCAAGA